GTTTTTATGGTAACACGGCTGCAAATGACAAAGTGGTAGAGAGACTTTTAAACATGCACAAGATAATCCCTTTCTCTTTGCCATCTCCTTCTTGTCATATAAAGTTTTCTATACAGTCAAGGTCTGATATTTCCTCCTTTCTGTTTTTCGCTGTAACATAACATTTTGTCAGGTCTTCACAACCCCTCTATGAGGACATCACAGCCCACTGGCAAACCACAGCTTAAAAACCACTCCCTTAAAGCAACAATTTTTGAAGGACCTCTTCCTCATGCCAACTGCCTTCATTTCGCTTATGTGTTGAAAAGATAAGGACCACATGGATTCACATATTCAGTATCCTACCCTGGGAGAGAGATTGGAGCTTTATTATTTTTTTAAAGCAGAATTTTCCTGCACCCTCAGCATGCCCCTGCCCAGTTTATAGCTCCCTGTCCCTTTCTTTGCTATGGTTACACACATCATGTATTCAGAGGAGAAGGGAGCATGCAAATACAAAGAAGTGATAGGTACAATGTGTATGTATTATCTTAGCACTATCTAACAACCTCATCACATTGAGAAGGGAAAGCATGGGTGACTGCCCCTTTAAGAGTAGAGAACCGCCCCTCTTATATTGTCAGCAGTCCCGTTATGAGTTCTGCCTCCTCAACACACTCACACGTGGAAACTTAAGAGCTGAGAATACATTCATCTTACATTAATCACAAGGCCAGTATTACTTTTTTTTAATCAAGAGAAACAAGAATATCTGAAAACCAAGACAGCCCTTGCCCTGCCCAAGGCCCCTTATATTAAAGGAGACTGACACCAGCTTAAAACCTCTTCTTTCCGTGGGATAAAATTGTTCTGTCCCAAACCCCATAGGATACAAGTGACAGTGATCCTGATTAAAACCATTGTTTTCCATGGAATCATATTGTGCTACATCAAACCTCATAGAATAGACTGCTGACAGCTGGGAAATGAAAAAGAATGGGAAACTTTGATGATTCCCATCCCACTTGTCTTTCAGTTGTAAACATGGGAGTAAAGCATGATAAGAGATATGAATTATGAACACAATTGCTGGTCCATGTTCTGAGTTCCCTCATTTCAGGACATTTCTGCCTCTTTTCAACCCTGTAACATGTAATGAGCTCTATGTCTCTCCATGCTTGAAAAGAGACTGAAATGTCCTACAAGGGAGAAATTTCTCAATGTGATGAGGTCAATTGCTGGAGTTTCCTCCTTTCAAGATACTTCTGCCTCTTTTCAACCACAGAGGGCTAATGCATGATGGCCAGTAGTTTAACTCATGTGATGAGCTCGGTGCCTCTTCATGCTTGAAAAGAGGCTGAAGTATCCTATGACTGGAAAATTTCTCAAAGTGACATGGTGGT